GCAGTGCGTCGACACTTCAAGCGTTAACAGTGGACAAATACGCAGTTCGTCTATACAGTGTTCTATTCTACAGCGCATTACAGCGCTTCATGGATTTGTTGAACATACGATCCGCTACTGAAGTACCGTACGCTACACAACAAAAATATGGCGACAAATAATGTAACGTGTTCGGCGTGTCTCAATATTATAAAACATAAACAATACCTGGTTTGTTCTACATGCTCGCAAAAGTATGATATTGGGTGTTTGAATATAACTGAAAAACGATTCTTATCATTAGATACTGAGAAGAAAAATAACTGGTTATGTGTAAAATGTAAAAGTAAGCAGCCGAAAAAAGATAATTCAAATACCCCTATCCGTGGAACGCTTCAAGACAACCAATCTTCCTTATCACAAAATAGTGACTGTCAAAATCAAAATATAACAAAGCGAAAAAAGGCTTCGAAAACGGATGTGTCGCCGAGCACTAGCACATGTGGAAATGAGTTAATTACTGATGATGTTAGCTATGGTTCACTCCTATCAACCTTAACACATGAAATTCATGTAGCTGTTAATGAAGCTGTAAATAAAACGGTCGAATCATATTTTGCAAAGCAGTTTGAATCTTTAAAAGAAGAGTTAAGCACGCTAAAAGATTTAAAATCGTCTATAGAATTCCTTAGTGCCGATTATGATCGTGTCAAAACGGATTTGCAAATATGTAATGAAAAGTTGATGTCCTTGACTAAAGAAAACACAAAACTTACAGAATCTGTTAAAGATCTTAACTCCAGATTATCAATGTTGGAACAATATTCTCGTGAACGCAATATAGAAATAAATGGAATTCCTGAAGGGAAAGAAGAAAATCTTTTTACAGTAGTGAAACAGCTCTGTACAACTGTCTCGGTGCCGATAATGGATAACGATATTGTAACATGTGTTAGAATCAGAAAGATGAATCCGCAGAGCAAGATCCCCCGACCAGTCGTAGTGAAACTCCAGTCCACGAAGCTGAGAGATGAAATAATTGCAGGTCTATCAAAGTTTAACAGACGTGATCGCGAAAATAAGCTGAATACCAGCCATCTGGGCTATGGTTGCAGTAAACAACCGATATACGTGTCTGAACACCTGACCCCCTATTTAAAATCCCTGCATGCTCAGACAAGGCTTTTAGCTCGAGAAAAAAAATATAAATATGTGTGGATTCGTAACGGTCGTATACTAGTAAGAAAAGACGATAATTCGCCAGCAATACCAATAAAAAACCTAGATTCACTGAAACTTATTGAATGATTTTTAAGTGAAACTTCTATCGCTTAGTCTTTTAAAAAAAAAAAGTTATAAAATTCGATACGAATAATTTACATAAATTTTTGGATTCTATAGAATCATTCAATATTTCTAGGTCTTTTGTTTGTTTGCCGGACCAGTGTATGAAACAGTTAAAAACAACTAGATCTACCTTAAACATACTGCATGTTAATATCCGAAGCTTGAACCGTAATTTTGATGGTCTGAATGTATTGCTTCATTCTATGGATATTAAAAGCGACATAATTATTCTTTCTGAGTGCTGGTTGAGTAAGGTTTCTAGCGTTCCTGTTCTAACCGGTTATGTCTCAACCAGGTCATCCTTCAGCAACCAAAACGATGGTTTGGTAATTTATATAAACACTGCACTGTCTTATAATCTATATGAACCTGCTATTCAAGACGCTAACTGTCTTGTCTTGAAGTTAGGATTAGATACAGCTATTATTGCAATATATCGTACCCCCTCTGTAAGAAATACAGACAATTTTCTAAATTCTCTCAGGAATATTCTTGAACCGATGTCAACAGTGGCAACTGTTGCAGTGATCGGAGATCTGAACATCAATATACGACCAGGTAATTGCGATCCAAACTCTGAAGAATACTTAAATACAATGGCGTTCCATGGCCTACTTCCTGCTCACTTTTTCCCTACGCGAATTAATAATTGTCTCGACCATATTTTTTTAAAAACGAATAAAACTGCTACGACATTTGTTTTTGATTCATATATTACTGATCATGCACCTATCCTATTTTGTATTGAGCAGGATCCTTGGGACGTTACTAAACCAAAAAGCATGATACGACATTTAGACTTACCTAATGTTATTACCAGCTTAGAAAATACTGACTTCTCACATATCTTGACCTGTACGGATCCCAATGAAGGCGTGGAACAACTTATTTCCATAATAATTAACGTAGTAAACCAGCACAGTACATTAAGAAA